GTTCAATGAAGGCCGCCACTTCAGCTGCTTGTGATTCGTATTGGATTCCACGCATCATGCACTTGACATTAGGGAACACAACATAGGGTGGGTGCTCGACCTTCTTGATATCTTCTTCTGGCCAGAAAACCCCCGACAGCATGGGACCTGTATGAAGGTGCGCTTTCAGGTCCCTCTTGCGCGAGTCCTTGGATGAAGCAACAGCTTCCAATACTTTCGGCAAACAGTGGGTGGCGTACCGGNNTGTTTTGCTATGCGAGTGGTACAGTGGACACAACCATTTTTGGTCATGAACACAGCCACCATCTGTTTTGTCACAATGCATTTGCGTCCGAATGCATCGGAGATGGCGCCCATCAACCAGCGTTCACTGAGCCGATTATTGCTTGGTCTCTGGGTCCAAACTATACACCTAGGTCTCATCACCACTGATGATCTCCAAAACCACATCGAAACGTTTAACATAAAACCTGGCAAGCATGGTACAGTAACAATTCACCCGAACTGCATTTTATTCCTCACTGAACTGATTGGGTACCCGGCGTGCGCAAACCTCTCTCATGTTGTTGAGCACTGAATAGTTTTGGAAGTACCGTTAGTCTGTTCCACTTATCCGGTGTTCAAGTGGGTGGGTGGATGTGCTTGCATTCCTCCTGTGAGGTCACGGACTCAACCCTCTAGTTCCGTCAATGGTTTTCCACTGCTGGTAGGATTTAACAATGCATATTCAAGTTCGGTTCTTTACAATCCATTGTTATTTTAGCACCTCACTTGAGAAAGCCAGTGTAAATATGTGCACTAAATCCATTGACAATCAAATCTTGGCCAGTGGAATTGCATGTTCATCTCGTTAAACTTTATGGTTATCTAGGCTGTCAGTTATTGGCTTATAGCATATAAATACAACATAATATGGGGCTCAGATGCCACCGTTGTTAGACGTAAAGTACTTTACCACACCATGATCAACTAAGCGATGCACGATTTCTTTTCCTTTAATCTTTCCTTTTAATCTTTGACATATTTTAGGTCTGGAATAGTCACACTTTTCATGAATGTTCTCAATACAATTGACAAAGGTAGTATTTCAAGCGTGTTTATCGCAGGCATGTAAATTTCGGAGCATTATCGCTCAATCTCAAATACTTGTTAGAGGTAGGTTTTCAGTAAGATTTATATATTGATATATTCAAACTCAGCTACAATACAATGATAGAAGAGAATTTTAGTAAAACAATTCTGTTTTTTTTTTCACTCATCACAGATACTTCTAGAAGGTATTCAAATATGTCCCAGCAACAAACAAATTAACCGCATAAAACTACACGATTTGTGGCTGTCCAAACCTGTATCGAACCGAAGTCTGCTAGGTTGGTGTAATTCGAATGACGAAGCTAGGTAAGGAAAAAACGAATACTGAAAGACGCCCAGTCCACTTTATTGAATTGAATATACTTAAGGGTTGAAAAATGAATTCAATCAACAGTCCTCTAAAGCTCACCTGTTTCAGAACAATCGCGTATCGGTAGAGTGCTTCGCCTTGATCGGCAGCTTTGAGTAGTTTACTCGGCACTGGATAGCCCAATCCAGTGAGTAAACGCACTTCGCGTTGCAATTGAACTAACCCTTCGGGATAACCAACTTCTAATCGACCATCTGTAGTGGATAGCGATAACAGTCGGCCAGAAGGCTCAAAAGCGAGAGCTAATCGCTGATCTTTCGGTTTCTGCTCAGATAAGCGAGCCAAATTGTCACGTGACCATGTCTCGAATTGTTCACGACGCCATGTGGCAATATCTTCCATCAATGACATAGCATCCTGCACAGTGTGTAGATGGGGTGAAAAAGAACCATTATTTCGACAGGTAAAATAATTATCTCGTGTCTTCCTCACTCATAGTGAATTACTCGAACCCAATACCAACAGTATCATTATGGCTGTTAGGAATTCACAACGAGGAAGCAATCGTGTACTTTGGTTCATATACGTCACCAGGTTTGGTGAGGGCATACACGAAAGACGTGATTTTGTGATCAACCTATAGCATATTGTAATAAACCTGATTTTAAACATCAAAGTAAACTGCCTTCTGTTCTAGGAAGCAGAATTGTTCATATTCACAGCCCACTTCAGAGATATCCAATTGTGTTTCACCACTCAGGGTGTTTACTATGTGAAGACCGTCGNGATTGAATTTGTTACAATGCTCGACAAGGAACATTGGCCAACTATTTCGTACTTGCCGGGACTCGTTAGGAGTGATTATTATTTTCGGTGTCCTTTCAGGATTGAACAAATATATCTACGGTCTGATTGCTAGGGTAGTAGTTGAAAACCAATGGGAACTTCTCATCCGATGCAATAAATGCGCTACTAAGCAGAGTATTCAATATACAAATATCAATTTTAATTTAAACTTAAAAAAATCGTTCAACTCACTGTAGTGAAACTCCTTAATTCCAACTGAGTATGTAAAAACGAATCCCGAAGCCGGCATGGTAATAACGGGCAAACTCCAAAGCCCTTCACGTTCAAAAATAATTTAACTGTACTTGCATTTTTCTCCCGTTAAAATATAATTTGGAATGGGTATGCTGTGAGCCTACTGAACATATAATTCAGCTAACAGACAATCACTAAATTACTTCATTAAGTGATCTCCTCTCAGTTTCAGAAATTTCCTGGAGTATAAAATATGAACACTGCATTATTTTAAGTTTGTGGCTTGAATCATGATCGACCTATTGATTCGGAGCAATTAAACCTCTCGGCTCCTGCTGAGAAGTGATCCTTAGCCCAGTACCAATTTCCACTAAATCAAGAAGATTATTTCGTTGCAGTAAAAGTCATGCAATCAATTATTAGTGAGGGGAAAACGGACATTAAAATCAATATAAGTTACCTCAACCACCACTGAATTGGTTTTTCCATAATAAATGCAAATTGAACTTGAAAATAAGGAAACATATTGGGTGAATTTCTTATCTAAGTAGATCGAGTTAATCAATGGGTGACGCGCACCCTTCGATTGGCTGCGTCACATTCCTCCCTCTAGTATTTATTTTGATCTCGGCGGATACTGCATAATGACTGCTCGAAAGATCTATTCGCAACCATAGTTAATGAGTTTCAAGCACGATTTGCTCAATAGTGTGCCTTTTACGTCCTCTTTGGCTCATTTTTGGATTCCTACTTAAATGAAGAAACGCAAGCGCGATGGATGGCAAGCAGCGTTTAGTCGCACACTCTCATTGAAAATGCTCGAGCCGTCATTGGTCCGCACGAACATCAGGTGGCAAACAGTGGCGCTCGTGCATCTACACATTATTCTTGCATACAGAAGTTATGACAATAACAATACCTTCTTATACAACCGAAACCGATCCAGATCGGATAGGAGTGCTTCAACAAGTTGCAAATCGTCATGTACACGTGATTCCATGTGGCCAGCCCATAGCATTCGATTGACCGATTCCGGTATATTCTTTGCCGTGACCATGCCGACAGATCGATCATTGTAACTCGTTGATCCAGGTGTCCGATCTAGCACAACACCACTTCCTTTGAGAAATTCTTCGCGAAACTGTAGTAGTTTTTATGCACAAAGTGAATGATAGATTATGGTGATTTGAAGGTATTGGTTTGGATCAGGTAGCAGAAATTCAAGTTAAATGAAAATTTTAAGTTTTAATACCTTTATATGAAATATTCAATCTTTCATTCTAGTGAGAACCACCATATTAAGCTTAGCACTGTGAATGCAACTTTATTTTGTTTCAGATTTCTCCGGATTCTGTCTAGGTAAAAGGAGATGATGATTCAACCGGTTACCACTGAACGTATTATCACAAAGAGCCGAAAACGCCTTCAATGTTGCTCAAAGCATTTTGCTTCGACAAGTGTTTGATAGATACTTGATGTTTTGGAAGTGTGAAAAGATCGCCAATATCGATGGAATTTGAATACATGCACGGATACTGCATACTCTGGTACGAAGTAAGCTTTGGCAACTGAGCTACATCGGTAGCCCTGATCTTTTCAGATTTGATTTTTGACGTCAATATAACTCTTCCTTACGATTAAAATTTCGTTCACTCTGTGTTGCAATGTAGTAAGTTCTACTTGATTACTGCAGGATCTTGAGTTTTTTGATTATGTGCTCGTTGATGTTTACTCACTTTCCTTTAAGTAGGATGGGGCGGTAGTACTAGCGAAACCGAGGCAATTTATCGTGCGGATGAGAATATTTCGCAGCTGAGTCCGTGGTCTACACGAACTTACACGGATAAAAATGGTTGGTTACGATGGGTTGTGTGAATCCCAAGCAAGCTCATTCTGCACAACAGTGCGGCTGCATTTATTTTTTTCAAGGTGGAGGAAACCGGGCAAAGGTGAGATTTCAATGACCTTCCGAAGGCAGTGTGGTGTTTGTCATGTTCGAAGCCTAGATCCAAAAGCCTGTGTAACCAGTTCTGTATCTTACACCACTTGCCCCCTATTATTGTTATTATTGTTGTGGCGTTGGCACCATGCTTGTCTACAAGCCGGTATTAAAAAATAATAATATAAATGTTCAGGTTAGCCTACCTGAAGAGAGGCTTACGTACAAATAATTTTTGTACCGTTTGGTTAGGTAATATGAATTCATTTTTCCATATAGTATATGGCTTCAGTGGATTTCAACGATTACTCCGTTTGATATTAAGGAACCACGCTTACCTCTTTCAAGGACGCCTCTAAGTAACCAAGCACAGTTTCTCTTTCGGCTTGTAACAGTTGGGATACGATCGGACGTCGAATCAATTCTTGATATGTTTGAAATTCACGCAGGAGCTGTATTGGACTAATTTGGTTGGAACCGACTGGAACGGATGAAGAAGACAAACGATTGGGTTCTCTCATTGATAACATCAACATGAGTAGTTATTGTAACACGTTACGATACATTTTTTTCAGATTCCTCGGGGTCCGATGTTTGGTGTAAAAGGGGATATCGACCTCGTTGTTGGGATAACCAAACAAAAATAGTGCTAACTTGCTTTTTATTTCAACGATTATCGTCATTATTAGCGTCAGCATGCCACACAATATTTTGAAGTCATAAATCTCTCGATGAAGTTGAAGTAAAAATAAATGAATATCTCAGCCACTGGAGGAGGTAAAATTGAGGGAAATTACTGGATCGACATGCAGAGTGCCGGTTCTGATTCTTGTTTGATTAGGCACGTGGCCTGATTTGAAAAGATCGTTTAGGCTCATTCCTTGTGCCTATCAATTTTTCACTTGGATATTCAAAGCCGGAGACGTCTTATCCCAGTGTGTCCAACCCGTCTGCTTCATCGTAGCAATCGTAGAAATAAGACACACAAATAATCGCTAAAATCCGAATGTTTACAAGTGTTTAACGTTTTATACTTTTTTGTCTAAGGTGCGAAATAGTAGTGTCAGTACTGTTGTGAAGTTCAACTAAATTTTACAGTCATCACCGGTGTTTTAGCTCACAAGGAATCTGGGTGTTCGCTTCGTAAGTTTTCCTAGTTTTACCATGATTCGTCGTATACCTTCACAAAGAGAATTCAACCGTGCTAAGTTTTAATCCTTTGAGATGTATGAAGTAAGAACTAATCATTCCTTGGAGGTACATTCATTCGGACTGGAGCAACGTGCTACGTGGCTTAGACTTAATCCAAATTTTGCAGTATTAATGAAACCATAAGTAAATACGAGATCTTGGTGATCTTTTGATTTCTACTTCATTTATTTTTGTTATTTACAGAAGCATCAACACTATCCTCGAAAATATGTTTTTGACAAATCGGCACAGATAAAGCAGCCTCTTCCGATTCACCTATTCGACGAATACACTTCAATTGGATCGTTAGCACAAGTGCAAGTGTTTGGTTCCGATGTGTAACAAGGTTCATGTTCTTGATGCACAGATAACATCTGTGTGTCATCCATAGTTCATTTACACTTACTGGCTGTTGGATTAGAAGGCACACAGCTCGAGTTGAAGTCCATCAGCACACACACACACACACACACACACACACAGAAAGATATCTGAGGGAATGTATCCCGTTGGACGTATCTGAACTTGGAGCATTCCCAGTGAAACCTCTTTTTAGTGGTGTGGTGGATGAACCTAATTATTTTTTTCCAGTTGTTCCGTGTCACAGTGGATTGTGCACTTGTGCTCCAGTCTGTGGAATCATAATATTCAAAACCGATTATTAGAAAAATAAATACGAAGCACGATTTCGTAAGCCGCATTCCTGCCAACAACAGGGCGATTCCTCACACGATATTATCGGTTATGTTGTTGTGATTTCTACCGACGCCAAACTGTTTCGCATTGTATCCTGCCACAACTAAACTTCGATGAGTGCAGAAATTCAAATAATGAGAATAATAACAGTCCGGCGGAAAACATGTTTGTTATTGGAAATCGTTCTTTTCTTTCAAAATTGACAATTATCATGCTATTAGCTTCAGAACCATAGAGCACATCTTTTTCGGTTCCAACAACCAGGTCAACCTGTTGAGGTAATCAAAACACCTCTTCCCGAAGGCGGTGTGTTCAAATACCACCATTACTGTCCATCTCTTTCATTTTACATATTCCTCCAGGTCGGCTTGAATTAGTCACAACCCACTATCTGAAAACTGACGGCACAATTGTATAATCAATAAATAGAAAAGGAGTAAAAACATTTGAAAAAAGGTACCACAACATTCTCAACTTTGATGGCACAGAAGGCATGACAAACAACGATTCACAATAGACCACACTATTCAAAAAGATTTTGCAACCTACCTGTATACTCGCTTGACACTTTAATGGTGTCAAGTAAGTCGGTCAGATAACGACCTCAGAACAATCACGTGCTCCCCCTAAGTATGAAGCTAAGAAAAAATGTTAACGCCTCAAACTGCGAATGAAACTTTTACATTGAAAGAAAATGAAAAAATACATTTGGTCCTGTGAGCTTATAAATCTTCTAATTTACCTCTTGAGTGATCATAGTTTCATGGAGAATTGTTGTCAATGACTAGTAGTAGTACACTTCGGGTGGAATTCGTTAGATCCGATGGCGATCGAAGCCAGTCAGATCGTGTCTTTAAACGCTCTATTCACCGTAGTGGACACGGAGATATATAATTCAGATTCTTCACTGGCACTGCTTGCACATAGTATTTATGAAGTGACGCTGCATTGCCGATAGCTACATTTTCCTCTATCTCCACATATTTCAATGTACCCCGATACATTTTCAGACATCATGGTAATTAATTTTAAAGGATTTATGCGCAGCATCGTATCTGGCAGCTGGACTAAGGAACCTGTCAACAAGGATCGAAGAAGCCGGTCATTTGTGCGTCTTTTATGCACAATTGCAATAATTCTCCTGGTTAGTGTATAAAATTTTTTCAGCCTTTCGACGGATAGCCACAGGACGGGTATCCTGACAGTTCCATCTGTAATGCTAGTTTTCAGTGATTGCTTTCAATGGTCTATGAGCACTGATTGTTTGTAACTCTGATGCGGTCATAAGGAAAGCTTAAACAAAATGTGATTCGTACGAGGAGCTTGGTCATCACATAACTATCAAAAATTATATCCTTAACGATAAAGATATAAATCAAATGTGATCAATGTTTTAGAGAGCTACCAAAGCAACTTACTGTCTCCTTTGGGTCGTCCAACCAAAAGACGAGTTCGGAGACGAGAAGCTGCCCGTTCTTCAGCCGGTCGCAGTCGGGCATCTATCATACTTACTGCTGAAACCCAGTTATCGGCTGTGTAAGGATTGTACAGCACAGGGTTTAGCAGTTCTCGAATAACAGAAGGGATTGTAGATGAATCATCAAGCTCTCTGTCAGATACCCATGAACCAAATAGAAAATGTTTCAACCCTTGATCCATTCCAAGTTCAGCGCGCTCTTCTCGGGTCAAAAGCCGGTGTAAATGTTCGTACAAACCACGAAGAGAAAGCACCTGATTTGACACATTGAAAGTCAACTTATTAAGCCCAAGATCCAGAGAAGTACTGCAAGATTATTTTTGGTGACTGAATTAACACATGGTAAAGTCTTCTACACCAACAAGGAAGATCAAATAATACTCCCCATGAAATACTTACAGTTCATACTTATAAGGGACGATAGCTGACGCCACAGAACATTTTACTAAATACAAATTTAATTTCAAAATGATCAAATAAATTGTGTCGCGAGCAAACGGCACTGGCACTGAAATTTCATAATGTAATCTAGTTAATTCCATTTGTCCTTTCATCAATTCATGTTACGGGTTTAGCCACAAACATAACTTTATATCAGTTACCTATTCTTTGAAATTAGTTAAATCCTTTCAGCACTAAGTACAATTGTATTATTTAATATTGACGCAACAGAAAGATGAGTCACAACCATTGGTTTTCAATGCATTAATCGCGCCAAAAATTGTGATACAATAAACGTGCCTCAGAATGATATGGCCTCAAAGATAATAATCAATTTATTTTTATTTTGCTTTACTTTCGTCATGAAAGGGGAGGATGGAAATCAGGAGACTGTTGTACAACACAAACAATTGAAAGTCATTCTGTGATGATGTAATTCGAAAACCGGCCCTCCGAGGTAACAAGTTAGTGATATTTACCGTTTGATCATCACCACCACCATCAATTACACACAACAGCAACAGATGACAAACTAGCTGATAATGAATTAGTGAAGCTACATAATTCTGAACTGTCGTGCTATGCTGATAGTTCATAGCATTTGATTCCGTATTCTTCATTCTGTGTCATAAATAGTATGAAAACTCACACAGGATGAAGTGTGTTCATTACTGATGGGAGCGATCAGTTCCAGCGATATAATTTGTAAAATATATACAATGCTGAACTTCCAGATCGGGCAAATTTGACATTTATACGTTCACATGAATATCTTCGAATTATGTACTAGTAAAAATACCAAGGCGAAAATATCAAACTGACCTCTGTGAGTCTGGCGCAAAACTGATTGAGATAGGCCAAATTTGGCTGGGGACCATCCCATGGATGAGGTGTATACCTACGCCATAATTTCTGCGTTAAAAGTTCACAAGACCTCTGCCATTGCACGCAAGCCTTGATTCCCAGCTGAAGGCCTGGTTTTACCTGTAATACATATCGTAGCAGTGTTTAGGTATATGTACACGCGAATTTTGACAGATACAAACACTCTATCAAAAAAATAAGAACATTGTTTCATTTCTTTTCTATTGACAAAATGACAAGAAATTTGATAGTGTTTATTTATGCAAGACGAATAGTGCAGTCACTGGAATATCACACAAAATTTTGGACACATGTTACGTGGTGAATGTGACCGTCCAGTAGGCATGACCATTAGGTCTTACTGTACCAGATATAATTCCTGGGAATCAGAAAATAAAACCTACATAGGCTCGATTTTTGAACAACGCCTCTGTACTTCGGTCGCATTTGGTTTCACCTATCCTGGAGGTACATTCCTGAATGAGGTACTTACTCCGCATCAAATGACGGAGCAATAGAACAGTCCATGGCGAACACAATCATAACAGAACTTACACTAAGAGATTCGATATTATTGAGCTGGTACCATGCATGCTCTGAAACAAGTGATATACATATGCATATTTGCTAATTTTGGCGTGTTAAAGACCTGTTCAGATGATCTTCGTTCTCCAGTGTATCAATGAATAGACAACAGAGGTTAACTGCTTCAATTTTCCACGAGGAACCTTACATTTCTGCCATGCGGAAATCACCGAAGAAATAATTTATAGACGGTCGCAAGGAGCTCCAATCTGGCAGCCAAACCAGCCGAAGTTAACGACGTAATCGACCGCCGCGTGGTTTAGAACGTAGTGGTAAGATCTATTGGAGCATATTTGTTGATTATTTTAATGTATTGCTTCTGATGTGATCTGTTATCGTATTCGTTGGTGTCACGGGTACGAGTGACTCATCTCCGTTTACTCTGGTCAAGCCTTTGAACGGAAGATGAGAGCTCTGCAATACTTTAAAGTAAATGAACTTTGCAATTAGATAAAGATTGTTTCAGTTTCAGTTTGCTTTTTACAAGTATTACCGATGATTCAATAGGAAGATAAATATGCTGTGATTACGATTGGCCAATGGTCGAACTTTTCTTTTATAATAAAGATTAATGTACCATGATTTGCTTGACACAGTCTCAGTTCAGTTCATTTCTTATAAACAACAACCATGCTTTTTCGTGCGCCGGTTCTGGTTCCTCTCTTTTCATTGCCCATTTGGATAAAATAGCAGAATGATGATAAGAATGTTGAGAGCAGATTCAAGCAG